GGGCCGTCCGCCCGAATTCCCCTTTTTGAACTCTGCCTTGCCCCGGGCCGTCCGCCCGAATTCCCCTTTTTTGAACTCTGCCTTGCCCCCGGGCCGTCCGCCCTCCACCCGTCCTCCAGACCCCCTCCACCCACCCTGCTGGATTTTAGTTTTTTTGGGACGTCTGGAATCCGTCCCTTGAGGGGGGGGTTATGTCACGATTCTCATGTTATGTCACGTTTATAGTTTTGTAGGTTTGGGTGTTTTTGCTGTTTTCCATGTCATGTTTTCCTTTGGGTTATTGTCTTGTCATTAGTTTCCCTGGTGTGTCTAATTGTCTGATTATGTTCACCTGGGTCCCTGTGTTTTCTCCTCCCTCCTCACCTCTGTCTTGTTGTGTGATTGAGTCTTGTGTGTATTTAAGTTCTGGGTTGTCTGTCTGTCTTGGTCGGTTCGTCTTGTTCCCTGACTAGTTCTGCGGTGAGTGTTCTGTTTTTGTCATTGTACATATATCTCAGCCTTGAAATAAAGGAAGTTTCAGTTTAAATCTGCATTTGGGTCCTGCTTGTTTCACAAACCGTGACACCTTCCTGTTCTTGTTCTATGCACATCAGTGTCCCAACTCTTTCCATATCTTACCAATTGAAAGAATAAGTAATGCAATGCAATGTGGGAGTGCTGCAGCTTTGACAACTTTTGCGGTGTCACTGTTCTTTTTTGCATGAATTAGTTTAGGTAAAAGTAGTCCATCCAGCGTGATGCGCCTGGCTCACGCAACTTTCAAACTAGGTGATGTGTTGCCCACTTATTGCCTCAATTTGGATTGTTTGGAATAATAGCAGAACATTTATGAGCATGACTCATGTTTCCTGAAATAATAACTGCCTCAACTGGCAGCACGTTTTCTCAAGTTTTGACAAGTCAAGCAACCAGTTGACTGGAAAGTGCTCACAAATGAACTGTGACTCTGTGCATCAGATTATTGCTAACATTAACTACCAATGTTAATGTTACATAAATCCAGTTATGGCTTTTGGTTTTGGTGTTTATGTCTACTGTAGATGTTTACTGGCACCAACTGGCCAACCCTATGAAAACTCTTTGTGGATGCCACTGCTGTGGGACAACAATCGTACCATTGATGTGTGGAGCATGCTGCGAGTTGTCTGGGATCTGCTTGCTGTGGTGCTGGCTCTTCACTTTGTGCTGATGGTCTGGATGTTCAGGTGGAGCTGCACTGTCTGTGCGCTTCAACACTTCCAGAAACGGAGGAACAGGGAAGCCTGCAAACAAACACGAAGCAGTGTGAATAGGAAAACTTTTCAATGGAAACCCTTATATGTTAACATCCCAGGTTTTAGTTGATCTTTTTCCTGTTCTATTTTTTCTTTTCCTGTGTCATGTCTATTTTTACGTCTGTCATGGAAAGTGGAGCACGGTGGACTCAAACGCAGTAGACAGAGACACATCTAACAGAAACAACTTTTTTAAAAAGCCATGGTCTGTACAAGACAAGGCTTCCCGATGTACAACCAACAAGACTCGGACAAAGACTAAACAGAGAGCCAGGGTTGTGGTCAAATTGTCTTGTTTGTTTAGGAAGGTTGCTAACAGAATGAAAAGAGTTGGAGCTTTCAAAGTGGCAGCCATGATAAGAGCTGTTTAAAGTCTCTACATGATAAGAAATGCATTTTAATACATATTTCATTATCTGCTTTAGCATAGGATAAACTGAACCATCCTTGACGAAGGAAACGAGATTATGCTATCCCACTATTATTTGCGGTTGCAACATTTTGTGACTGTCAAACAAAGATAATGCGAGTAGCAAGCGTCTCTGAGTGTACTGTAAGTGCAGTCCGATTCTCCTAGGACTGCGGCTGTCCATAAGTCCGGATGAATTCTCCTTCTCATCATTCTTTAACCCTCTGACATTTTGTTCAACCGTTGTCAGTATGTCAGAGTAGAGAATAATCAATCATCTAACCTCCAGCTGTCCACAGGTGTCCCACAAGGGTCAATTATGGGTCCATTGTTATTTTCATTGTATATAAACGACTTACCATCGATATGTCCTGACAAAAACATCCAAATGTATGCTGATGATGCTGTAATTTATGTTCACGGAGGCAGTCTGACACAAGTGGCTAATGAACTGACGAACAAGATGGTTCATGTAACAGCTTGGTTGGAGCAATGCTGTCTGCAACTAAATGTCAGTAAAACTGTATGTATGTTCTTCACCAAAACCAAGTCCTCCTGCATTGAGCCTGATGTGTTTGTGTCCGGGGAGAGGCTACAGGTGGTCTCACAGTACAAATACCTGGGGGTCTTAATTGATTCAAAACTCAATTGTAAGGCTCAGGTGAAAAAGGTTTGCAACAGGGTCAAATTCAGTCTGTCAAATTTAAGGTTTACCCAAGACTGCATGTCAACAGAGGCGGCTCTGATGTACATGCACTCTATGGTTCTATCTCACATCACCTACTGCTTAACAACCTGGTCACATGCCTGTACAACCACTCTTAAACCCCTGGAATCATTATACAAACAAACACTTAAAATAGTGGATAAGAAATCAGTTTATTCTCATCATTGCCCAATACTCACAAAATACAACTTGTTGAGCTGGGAAAATGTAATTAGATATGCAAATGCTTGCCTCATGCACAAAATAATACACGGCCTTACTTCACCTCCGCTCAGACATTTTAACACCATACGCACACCTGTAACTAGGTCAACAAGAGCTGCAACAAGAGGAGATTTGTGAATATGTATTTTTGTTTTGTTTTTGAGTTTTTATGTTTTTATATATGCTTTTATCATAATATAAGCACCTACTGCAGCGATGAATGAAATAAAGAGGAGAGGAGGAAGTAAACAGAGGGATGCATTGAATCCCCACTGTATAGTTGTCATGTGAATGTAACCAGCTTAAATTCTAATGTATGACGTGTGTTTGCTAATTTAGAGCCTGTTAGAGTTGGACTTTTAGTAGTAACAATATTGGATCTTTGAAAGTATGAGCCTATAATTTGTAGCTTTCTGCTGCACTGCTGCTGATTGGTGGGTTGGTGATACCTGCTCTCTTGTCGTAGTCGGGGGACTGAGAGTCGGAGCTGCTGCTCTCCTCCATCTCCTGCCTCCTCTGTCTCACTGTTACGTCCAGATCACAGAACTCACCTGGAAAACTCTGCAGAAAACCACAGAAACACGGAAAATATGTTGGTTAGTAGGAAAGTCACTTACTGAGAATCAGAAATCAAAATTACAGTACTCATGTTTGTCAGGAGAAAGAAAATGATGGATGTCAAAAAGCAGAGGAAGAGAGGAAAAAACACACAAGACAAACACACTTGGATACCTTTTAGTCGGTTAAGCCGATCCAGAAAGAAAAAAAGCATCACAATTTGGGATATTAATAGTGTCTCAAATGTTCTTGCCGTTCTCTCTCTGTATTTTAAGATACAATTATCCATATATCATGGATTATGTTAGCATTTTACACCTAAATCACTTATGAGTCTTCACCTAATGGAAGTTGAATGAAATGGAGTCAAACAAATGAAAATAACATATGTATTGGTTGAACTACCACCACTACCTGGTATTATTTTCACCTTTGAATCAAAACATATATATTCCACAACTTCCTCCTTCATGTATCAATTCTCAGATTCACTGGGAAGAAGATCGTAACGTAAAGGCACATTTACAGAATACATCATACATGTACAGTATATGTTGCCCGTTCAATAGAGTGCAACTAGATTTCTCATGGCTACTGTTGCCCTGGTGGGCTTGTGTCTGACCTACCATAGGGAAGCAAGGCGACCGAGGTGACCTCTGACCTCTGAAGCTATTCTCAGCTGAGCAGGGGACGGGGCTGCTGCATGGACTCTTCTCCTGTACACAATTATTTTACAGTATTTATGTAATACACATGGTTTTAGGTTGATATCCAAATACATGAAGCGGTATTCCGTCTTTGATACTGACATAGAACAAAGAACACAAGGTGTACTAGAAGAACTACAATCAGCAATCTTTGTAGGCCTACTTGTTTTCAAACTGTAGTCCCAAAAATATTAAATGAAATGAATTTAACATTATGAGATACATTTCAGTTTTCAGGGAGTTAAAACCTCTGTCAATCTAAGTCAACCTGACTGTATTCCTCAATATTTTTAAATCGGCTGAGTGGTTCATAACCAGCTGGAACTCTGTAAAAATATATATATTTAAAACAAATACAAAACATTATCTTTAAAGACACAGAGATAAGATGCTTTGATTCTAATTGCAGGTATATTGGTATACTAAGTAATCACATGTATTTATAGGCACATAAGGCCTGTTGCGTAACTCAGAAATGAACCTTCCTGTTCTTGGTCTATGCACAACAGTGTCCCAACTCTTTCCATATCTTACCAATTGAAAGAATAAGTAATGCAATGCAATGTGGGAGTGATCGGATGTAAAATGTAACTTGTTTTATTTCAAAATCAATTAAACCTTGTTAAAAGTAATGTAATAGTATTTTATGCATGGCAACAAGTGACTAATGAGAAAGATACAGTCTAGCACCATATGGGAATACATGTCCTACCTCCAGATGATAACAAATGGACATCAAGAACTTGTAGGTGTTGTCTCTGGACAGAAAGGACACGAAGACGTACTGAAACAAAAAACAAAAGTTTTAATGTGGAACAGATATATGAAGATTACCTTGTTGTTATTCTAGATTTTAAAGGAATGGTTTCTGTGTGAGCAATACAATGTCGCTGAGATTAAAGTTTGAGCTTCCTGCTCACCCTGTCGTTGGCGGTGCCGATCACCAGCGCGTTTGGCAGCAGGATGGCCGTCTTGGTCTTCTTGAAGCACGAGACGGACATCACTGGGATGGCGATCTGAAACAGACAAACAACATAATGTCCAAAATATACCAAAAACAGACGTATCTGGGACTCAAAGAGGATTCCAGTAAATGTTGCGCCTCAGTAACTTCTTCTTTCTCATGTTTACTTTTGGGTGGGTTTTCAGACAATGCAAAAGGGCCCAACCACCTAGACTACACAGGAGCAAGACACACAGACTTTATAGTGATTTAGCCTCTTTGGCAGCGGGGTGTGGTTAGGGCGCCGGCTGCTGGAGTGATGGGAGTGGCTCGGCTGGAGACCAGACAGCTGACCAGAATCAGGTAATCAGTCACTGAATAAAATCATATGGTAACCTGCTTCTGGTCTCTCTCGCAGTAGGCTGGGTCCTGAGAGGAAGGACTGACTCGCACACCTCCAGAAATAGAGGATAAAGACGAGGGCTGACTTCTGTGTTTTTTCTGTTGTTTGCCTAGTGCCTGCCTTTTGGGGAATACAACTGTTTTGTTTTGATCCCATCCCTCTCCTTCTATCGTTTTTAAACCGAGTGTGAGCTCGAAACGCTCACAGCCTCCTTTTGTTGTTTTATGTCTTTTAGTAGTTGTATCTTAATGGTCACTTTCTATGTCTTTGTTGTTGTTTTATGTATTTTTATAGTTGTTTTATGTCTCCCTGCAGTCACTTTGTGTCTCTTTGTAGTTGTTTTCTGTCCCTCGATAGTCATTATTGGGTCTCTTTCTACCTGCTTATGTCTAGTTCTGTTTTTTGCCTCTCTGTAGTCATTTTATGTCTCTTTGTAGTTGTTTTGTTTATCTTATTGGTCACCTTTGTCTATTTGTAGTTGTTTTCTGTTCCCTTGTAGTCATTTTGTGTCTCTTTGTTTATGTTGGTTTTTTTCCACGTCCATCCGTTTATTTTGTGTATCTTTGTAGTTGTTTTTCTGTCCCTGTTTAATTCATTTTGTGTCTGTTTCCACCTGTTTTATGTCTAGTTGTGTATTTCTAAGCCGTTTGTGGTCATTTTATGTATTTTTGTAGTTGTTTATAGTAATGATGTGCTTCTTTAATTGTTTGTTTTCTTTGTTTAGTCATTCTGTGTCTTTTGTTGTAATAATGATTCTATTTGTGTGTCCTGTGAGGCTTCCCCAGGTGAATATAAATCATTGATCAATTCAAACCAGCTACAGTTGGCACCTCACTATTCACTTCAAATAACTTCAACTTTATTATTCATTATTAAATAAGCATAGCACAGATCATCTGTAACACTGTCAAATATCTGTTTGGGATGCTAAAGTGGAAACAAGAGACGCAATTGTGAAAGACCTCTGGGATGGAAATACTCAGAACATTTATCCACAGCAATATTTTCTGACATGAAGGAAAAAGTACTTTGCAGTAACAGTAGGGTAGTTCTCGGTACCTTTGTGTCTTTGCCAAACACCTTGGAGTGAAAGCAGATCCAATGGTCAGAGATAAACATCCGTCCCTGGTAGAGGATGTCTTTCTGCAGAGCACATGTGTAACCTGAAAAACAGGTAAACAGCATCAGCATACTGAGGGGAACGCTACGTTTTTAGTTCCTGTCATTTCTGTAAAAACAATATGAGGAAAAAGAAGTCGATGCATTAACCGCTACTTGATTACAATAGATACTGATCTGGATGTTAGTTCTGTATATCTGTTATGAGCATTTAAGAGTTTTTACAATTTTGAAAACAATATTGTACATTAAAATAGTTTTTGTTAACTATATTATTCCTTTTGTCCGTACTGGCCTGCCAAGAGATCACCTCTCAAAAAAATACCAGTAATCACTCAGGGACAGAATACACAATCAAGTTCAGTTGAAGCTGATAGAAAAATCAGGTTGGCACCTACAAACAGGAAAGCGCATATGGCATACAAATCTCTTTTTGTGCTTCATCAGCGTTTCCTTGCAAAGGGACAGTAACACAAAGAGTGTACTTTAGTACCAAAACGACATTCCCTTTGGGAAGATATACACGTCATTTGTTGCAGCATTATATTAACTTCAGCTTGATGTATTATTGAATTTCTCAAAGGACGGGCACTGGAGATTGTGTCCTATATAACTATATACACTAAAATAACTTCTATCTCTTTATGGCCAGTATTGATAGGATGAACAATTACAAATGCCAACGTGTTATTCAGTGTACATATACCTAGCTCAATCTTGTTAAAGAAGGACTTTAAAATGCAAACCGATGCTTCGAAAGGACAGTGAGAAGGACGTGGCGGAATCTGGTATTGCAGGTTGCAGTAAATAATGCTGTGGTATCTTTCCTTCACCACGCTGAGGCCATCCTAGCATTACACTACTTTAGAAGCCAATAAATTCATGCTCATGTTGATGATACCAGAGTTTCATAAGCATGTCTGAAATCCAATGGGGAAATCCCATTGCTTTTTGTCCAGGGAGCCCGTGTGATGCCAACTTCCAGGGTGGACTATACATCATCACTGCACTTCTCTATTTTAGGCTAATGAAAAGAAAATTCTTAGTTTCAACTAATTATACTATAATGAAAACATAGTCATGAATGAAAACATAGTTATGAATATTTTTCTTTTAATAGAAACCACTAAATACTACTCATCATCCCCTAATTAATAAAAAGCTAAGAGGTATCAGACTATCTAATCTCTCATCCAGTATTTAAGGTGGAGCGGAAAGTTGTGATCATTAATGACTTACTCTGTCTGAGCAGTTCCTCTTTGCTGATCTCCTTAAATATTTTATGGTACTGGCAATTGCTTTTCGAAAGCTGAAACACAACACACACACACACATTATGGATAATGCAGAGTGAAGCTTGAACATTGGAAAGCTGCACAATTTGAATATTGATTATATTTCAAAAGCTGCAATAAAGTAGATTTAGTTTGATATTTTGATAGATAATTAAAAAACACATTGAGAATCATTTTAAGAATAAACATAATATATGATTTAAAGTGATATTAATATCACTTTAAATAAGGTAAGGTTGACAAAGATTCTGGTATATTACAATAATAAATCCCACAGTAAGCAAAATAGCTAATCAGAAATGGTAGCTGACGTCCCCCGGCTGGATGAGATTTTTACCGTGCTGTAATGCTCACAGCTGTGATCAAACACAGAGCGCTCACCTGGCTGTAATGAGACTTCTTCCTCTCGATCTTCGGGTCTGATTCTGTCTGGACCTGAGTCAGCAGAGAGTGGTCGAAGGTCTTTGATCTGACAGATCAGCACAGGAGGAGGAATTACATTGCATAATATTATATTACATTATATTGCACCTTACATGACTGTCCTTTTGTCTGAGGCCCTTTGTACTCTAATGTACTTATGACAGTATTTATAACAGGTCACCAAGGGAAATTACATAAAAATAACATATCAAATATCTTTATTCCATAACGCTCATTACATTTTCCAAGCTGCACAACCTGTCCAACACATTATATATTATATATTTTTAGAAAGTATTCCTTAACCGTTTTCTACCCTCAGCACTATTTTATGTTCATATCTTAAATTCAAAATGTATATTATGTTGAAAAAATACATATTTGTAAGAGCATTTTAGAGGGGAAACGAGAACAAACTATTTTACTTCAAACGGCTCCTTTGTTGGATTTGTTGGGCAAATAAAAAGAAAGAAAGAATAAATGCCGGTGTAAACTGGAAATATTGAGCAGCCACGTGCAATTTTCTTTTTGAGTTACTACAGTAACAGCTCCAGACTCAGGTTAGTTTTCCACTAAATGTGCTTCACCTGACTAATGCGTATTTCCTCCTGCCTGACAGCTCCTGTTGCTCCGGGTCCACGGCCTGCAGAGGGTCGCCCACCATCTTCTCAAATCTCTGCCGCTCCTCCACGTTTTCTACATCTGAACTACACACAGCAAGAAAACAACATTCAGACATCACGACAAAATGACCGGAGACACTTCATATAGCAGCATCAGGCAGGTGCTACATGGAAGATTAGAGAGGAATGAATACTGTACTCAGCAACAATGGTTTAATATGAATTCCCTTTAACTTCACTTAATCAGAGTACTTTATTTATGCCAGGGGAAATGGGTTTCAGGATTGTTAAGAATCATTTAAATAAAACAGAAAAAAATATTTTAAAGTGAGAAGATTAAACAAAGATATTTATATTAACATGATAAGTTGAAATCAAATGTCCATTAAAAGATAAAAAAAGCTTTTTAAATGTATAATATATATAATAATCACGAGAAGTTAAAGTAAGAATGTGCAATAAAAAATAAATTAATAATAATTTTTATAACATAAAAAGCGTATGTAAAAGGCCTATTAATACAAAAATAAAAATATGAAGTTAAAGGAAGAATGTGCAAATTGTTTATGTAGGAGCCGTTTTATTGGTGTTGTTGGTGTCTCAGTTTATTTATATTTATAGTGCAATACTATTTTGAACACTTAGCAGGGTTTAGCTGCACAGGGTGTATAAAAGGGGTCAGAGGTGACAGGAAAGGACGAGGACACAGGAGGAAGAGCACATCGATTCCACCAGCCCGCCAGATGCTCATACCACAACTATTGACAGTAATTAAACCTTGGTATGTAAACGCTAAATAAAACATCATTCTAAACTGCAGCAAAAGACCGGAAATGAATCTGTTTGTGTCTGCGTCTGGATCTCTCAACCCTCCTATGAAGTAATGGCAATAAAAGAATAGGACATTGGAACAGTTAAAATAGCCACTCTAATTCTAAAGGACTCAGTTGAATGTAAACTGAACAGCCAAGTTTGACATTAAGGTATTTCAGTTTTGTTTCTGATATCTAAATTCAAAACACTTTTATAGAAATATCTGTGTGAGAGATCAACTGCACCTCACACTGCATATAAATAACTTCACACACACACATGAGCAACTGTTAAGTATTATAAATATAAAGGGCTTTATTAGGGTCTGAGTGACACTGATCTTTTGAGACTGATGCTAAAGTAGATATTATAAGGACAACCCACAATAATTCACATTTCTGTAAATGTGCCAGTTTGCTCATTTTCAGCAACAAAAGCAGAAATAAAACAGTCTCAAGCTAGGGCAAAGGAAACAGCTAAACATTAGAACCACCATAACAGAGCCACAATATCCAAGTCAGTTTAGCTGTTACATCTCCTTGTTCTCTCTTGTCCTTTCTCTTTTGAGCGCCGCTCTTGTGCTTTGGTTTGCTGTACATTATAAATGCAAGCTATTACATTTTTTATAATGATGCCAAACTTGCTGCTGCTAGCTACAGCACCTATAACTTTTGAGGTTGATTAAACGGTCCGCTCGTTATGCAAGGTATCACAAGACATGAAAGGGAGCAAGGTCATTGGGAAGACAAATTACAAATTAATTAAGGTT